AGGCGGGGGCTAGGCGGCTAGGCGGGCGCTAGGCGGGCGCTAGGCGGCTAGGCAGGCGCTAGGTGGCTGGGCGGGCCTCCTAGGTGGGTTGGGTCATTTTCTGGTGCCGAACAAGGAGGACGAAGCAGCCGAAACTTGACTGCGTCTGCAAGCTCCGTCCTATGCCAGTGCAAGCTTTCGTGTTTGTTTCAAATATATTCAAAGATTATAGCCGATCGGCTATACCCTTAAAATATTCGAATATATTAATATATAAAGAGTATAGCCGAACGGCTATACTTTTAAAATATCCAAATGTATTTAGAAAGTAAAGCCGCGCGGGGCTAGAGTTATTTCTTCAATTATTTTATTTATACATGCGATATTAGGGAATGAGAATTTAAATTCTTTCTAATACCTCCCATTCTAATGATTTCCAGCTATTAGCCCATTGGGCAAGAATAAAAAATGAATTTTATTTATAACAAATAATATAGGTTAAACCCATAAATACAACAACAACAACAAAATCCCTCAACATTTTGTGGATCAAAGGATGTTGAATTTCATAATATAAAATTGCTTGTATAGCAATTTACTTTCTTGAAGAAAAATTGGATACAAAACAGTCTAACGAGACAACGAAGAGAAGTTTGCAGCTCTGTTTTGAAATTTATTGAAGGTATCAGAGGTCATATGACATTGATATATGAACTATTCAAAATGAGAATTCAAACAACATGTGTTAGATGAGAAGTAGTATCTCATTCTTAAATATAACATATTACTTCATTTGTCTACTGGTTGTGCATGTTGTTAAGCTACTGCAACCAACATTCTTTCACCAAGAAACTTTTCTTGAACCTCAAAGAAATTTAGCTAGGAAAACCTTTGGTGGTTAGGGAATGTTAAGATAGAAACAGAGGCAGAGGCAAGGCTGAAGAACAATCGCGAGCACATGTGATATTACACAAAATGTAGCGAAGGAATTTAGAATGGCCATTTTCCAAATTAAGCACACATTTTATAATGAAATCAAGATAGGAACTTATAACAAGCCCTCATTAGAGTACAGTGTCCAAAAACACAAGATGAACACCACACCACTCCACACTCAACACACATAATTGCTCTTCAATGTTGTAAATATAAAAAAAGATGAGATATCACTTAGTACAATCAAATAGTTCTTCATTCCTCGTCGCCCAAATCATTGAACGCATCGCACAAATCATTGAGCATTTCATCCCACATCTCCTCCACATGCACATGAAATGAGTATCCATCAACAAAAAGAACAAAATTGTCCATACCACAAAGAAATTCAAGAAATTTAGAACCCTTTCGCACTTAAATTTACTAATATGAGACGCAAGCTTTGATATTTAATCGTTGTTCTCATCGAAACCAGAACAATCTCTGACGTCCAACATCACCAAACCTTTGCATTCGCGTAGCAACGTGACAAGCCCATCCCGATTAACTTTTGCACCCTTCAAATTTAAGTAATTGATATTAGGCACCAACTTCACAATTGACAATATGCCTCACGCCCATGAACAAAGCCTTTGGACAAATCTAAACCATAAAAATTCTTGCAATGTTTTTGTATAATTTCAAGTATTATGGCCAAATTTAAGTATGAACCCAATGATGACACCTCCAAATTTTCCACTTGCCAATCAGCTCTAGGTTCGTGTGTTTGCTGTCCAATAAATTTATTGGTAAACTCGAAGCCACAAGGCCAGGACACCTGCACACATTCCACAACAACAAAAATGCTACATTTACATTTACAAGGAAAATTAAACTGGGTATACTTGAGGGTATGATCAAATGTCAAAATCTATAACAGAAATGCAATATCCAAAGAATGAAAAGCAGCCCAACCAAGAAGAACCATCAATGGATGAATATTGAACGCATCAAGATATATCAAGTTTCAAGCAAGAAGAACCAAACCAATCAATCTATTGCTTAACAAACCAGAAACAAATAGTCAGAAACCGAACCTTGTTATTAACAAGACCATTGAAACTCCTTGATAGGATAGCTGAAGCGCTCAGGATCTTGTGGGGAAGGCATCATCGCTTCCCCGCCGAGAAGTCTCTCAAGTTGTCTTTGATCTGTAAAGAGATACTATCATATGTCAAAAGGGCACCTAGGGATATTTAACACAAGAATAGGGGAAGAAACCATTCTTATGTACATTGGCATTACATGTAGGACAATCTCCCGAGTCTCAAGTACCTCTGTGTTAGATTTGATGGGGGAGATGGTGCCTCAATGGAGAAAATTTTTTCTAAGTGCCCCGTACTTGAAGATTTGACTATACTCGGGAATTTTAGAGTTGATTCAAAATCTCTGCCCCTGAATTGAAGACAAGCATCACAAATACTAGAAATAATCGTACGTTCCAACTCTTCATCAATTCCCCAAAGCTTGAAAACCTGATTGTCGATGTCTTCAGTTGGTGCTCATAGGCCATTTTATGTTTTCTAAAATCCGCAGCCAAAATTCGTCCCTATAGGCTTCCAGTAGGTGAAAGTCTAGCCTGTGATTACCTTGTGCCTCCGTTTACTATAGGAATTTCCAATGTTACGTATCTTTCTCTTCTAGCTTCTAGTTTGGATGGTTTATTTTTGCCTGCTATCTTTAAACATTTGAAATAGTTGGAGCTTGGACTCATTCATTATGGTTACTGGACATTGCTCATAGAATATATGAACCGATCACCTAATCTAGAATCTTTTATCCTAGACCTTGATAGTATGTTGAACACAGAAAACAACCCTTTCCGTCCACCAGCATTTGTGCTTACTTGTTTGTCTTCACACATTAGGATAATCTCCATGAAGGGGTTCCAAGGTAAATGTGATGAGATGGATGCGAGTAAGTATTTGTTTGAAGTTCGGTTTGGTTATGAATAAAATGATTGTTTCTACTGCTACTATTGCTGGTGTTGTTACTCCTTCCATTCCTAAAATAGGAGATATACAAGGAAATTTCAATGTTTGAATGTGGTTTAGAGAGTTGCCATGTTCAAGTTCTACGAGATGCAATGAATGTCTCGGTTTCACATAAGTTCAAGGATTTCTCCGAGTTCGTTCTATTCTTTGAGTTTGAAAATGTCAATTTCATTTGTTTCTTTCACTCATTTGTTAGATTAAAGCGGAGATTATATTAGTAGTGATTTAATCCAACTTATTTTGGAACTTTGAATTTTCTGTACAACTCCATGATCTTTTTTTGGTCATTGAATTGTTGGTTTTCTTGCTGTCGTGGAACTCCAACAATTTGACAACTTTTACATGTCGATATTTTAATTTTCAATTTGGGGTTTCAGACTTTCAGTCAATTGTCGTGATCAAAAAATTGGCCTAGGCGGGCTCTAGGCAGCTAGGCAGGTTGGGTCTCTTTTCAATGCTGAGCCCGGAGTACGAAGTCTCAATCTTTACATACATTGAAAGAGCCCAATCCAATCAAATCAACGCAGCAGCCGAAACCGAAGAAAAAAAAATCAAAACTTGAGTTGAGAGATAGGCTCAAGACCGAGTCTTTGAAGCTTGGAAACGGCTGTGACTCTGACTGCAAGCTTCGTGTTCGTTTCTCTGTCCCCAAAACGTGAATATTTTTAACGAGTATAGCCGCTCGGCTATACGTTTTTAATTTTTAAAGTGTTAAAGTGTATAGCCGCGCAACAATACCTTTGAAATGTTCAAATATATTAAATGAGTATTGCCGATACTCTTTAAATATACAATTTTGTCATATGATTTTAGGGTTTAGGGTTAAGATATCACTTTAGCCCATTGGGCTTAAGTTATTCATTCAGTTACTTCATTTATACAAGTGATATTAGGGAATGAGAATTTAAATTCTTTCCGATACCTCACATTCTAATGATTTTCAGCTATTAGCCCATTGGGCAAGAATAAAAAATGAATTTTATTTGTAACAAATAATACAAGTTAAACCCATAAATACCCATAAAATAAATTAAAATAAAAGGATTTGCCAACATTTTGTGGATCAAAGAATGTTGAATTTCATAGTATAAAATTGCCTGTATAGTAATTTACTTTCTAAATTGTATCCATCGTAATTACGAACTAAACCCAATTATGGCATTTTTCTTATTGCACTTGACAACCCTGCTCTTCTGCTACGAGATATATCAGTCTGCGCGGTTATACTTTAAAAAAATTCAAATGTGTTTAAAGGGTATAGCCGTGCGGCTATACTATTAAAATATTGGATAATTTTGCTTTTAGCAATTTTGAATGTGCCTTGGAAACATCATTCACAGTATGAGAGCATACAATTGCCAAGTTTGCCATTTGGATACTCTGTCAAAGCATCTCCAGGAGAGTCTCCAAATTTTACCCAAATTCTAGTTAAAATAGTTAACCACTTAAAAAGTGGTTCCTCCAACAATGCTCTCTATTTTTGCTAACCTCAAATATTTATTATTTTAAATTCATTAAAAAATTTAAAAGAAAGAACTCAAAATGAAAAGTAGCCCACCACCGAACCTTTCTTTTTCTTTTCTCTCTCTCTCTCTCTCTTGCGCAGCTTCTAGCTCTCTCTCTCTCTCTCCCCCCCTCTCTTGCGCAGCTTTCAAATTTGGTGAGCCTTGAATTTCTCTCTCCTCTTGCTAGATATAGTGAGCCAAAATGCCGAGATAGGTAGAAAAGCTGCCAGCCCTCGAGGACATTGACAAGTGAGAACATCATTTTTTTATGCTTCTTATAATCTATACATAAACAATCTTATGAAAAAAAGAACTATGTTCTGCATGTTTTTGGTTCATTCTTGACAGCAATTGTCGCTCCAAGGACTTAGATACCCTTATGAAGGATCTCAAAGTTTTTGCCGAAGGTAATGAGGAGCTGTTAAAAGAAATGCATCAAATGTGTATGGGTTCAATCCAACAGGGATCATAAGGCACTCTCTATGTGTGGAGATATAATGTCTATGATGAAGACTATGATTCAAATTCAAAAAAATCATTGGTCTTATCATCGACCTCGAGGGTCTTGCCATCTGTTGGTACTAAGCAATGAATCCCATCCTTTATCTACAATTAAGAATCATACAAAACATCAACTACACATGCGAAACCATATAGAAAAGATTAAATTTTTGACGGTCATTCGTGTTCAGCTCAACACATGACCTCTATCAAATACAAGGGCATTATCAATTCTCACAAGAACAAGGACATTCTTCATGCTGTTCTCTGAGTTGTAAGTGACATGTTGCAGGACATTCATTGGAGACGTGCTGCAGAGAAGGATTCGATCAACTGATATGTTGTATGGCACATTCGAATCATGATCCACTGGGGAAACAACAGGCGGCTGCTGGAAATGATTACTGTTTAGATGATCATTTCCTTCATTCTCATCGCCTGGAAAGGCTGTGGCTGTATTTCAGTGCTCATGTCATTTATATTGACAGGGAAGCTTCTATTGCAGCCAACACCAAGCAGGGTGTCTTGCTCCAGTGAAATGTTGCATTGGGCTGTGACATAATCAATCAATTGTTGGTCATCAGAGATCTGTGAATTTGACAGTTACCTAAAAAAAAAGTATTTGTGAGAGATGTGACCAAAATAAAATTTCAAATCTAACATAAGAAATTAAAGCAAGGTTTGAGTGAAGCATCATAAAACATCATACATCTTTGGAGACAAACAGCTCAATCAACCCTCTGCACTTGGAACCAAAACTCTGGTCCCATCTCTTTCCTGCAAAATGTAAGTAGAAACATATAGTTACATTTAATTATATGTACAGAAAATGACTTTCTTTTGGAACTAGCTAGGAAAAATGGGAACTTGAGCTCACTGCCATGGCACTTGAATCTCTGTTAGAAGATGAGTTCAACAAATGGGCTGGTTTAATATTAATGGATGTGCATAAATCCTGCTCATGAAAACCCATGGTTAATGATATAAAAACACTAATTAATTTCTTTTGTCAAGATATGTATGGTAGTTGGTAATTATGATTGAATGAGTAAACAAAAATGCGAAAATGAAAAGGATATATAGGTACCCAGAGCCTAAGGACAGAGAAGAAGGAAGCTGGGCAAGAAGATCACAGGAATTTGTTCTTGAGCGCTGCATTGTATCTCTGCATGGAAGGACTGGATAAACTGGAAAAATAAGTTCATTTCCTCCATTAGTCTGAGTGTTCTCATCAGCCCCAGAAAAACAACAATCCATCAACTCAATAAACCTAAAAAATAATAAAATAAAATAAAAATTAGTCACAAAAAGAAACATGAATTAGTAACTGTTAATTAAAAGGTTCCTCTTAACCTTTGGTCTTCACTCAATTTCCAAATAACACAATAATCCTAGCCTTTCAAACCCACAAGGGGCCTAAGCCTCTCAGTCAGATTTTGCATAACGATGGCATATCTACAGAGAATTTATTCAATAATGGATATTTCTTTAAAGAACAATCTATCGAATATTTCTTTAAAGAACAATCTATCGAATCTCATAATACGCAGAGATAATAATATTCCAAAAGCCACAAGAGACCTCAATTTCTGAAATTCTTGTTACAATAATTCCTCAAAAGCTCCTTCATCCAGCCAGTCATGGCCAAAACCAAAAGTTCCAGCCATCTGTATAAACAGAAACCAAAAGGCATAAAAGTAAGACAACTTGTAACAGTTGTAAGTGAAAACAATAACCGATTACAGCTAGTCAACTTGCTAATCTAATGATTCCAGAGTAAAAAGTAGAATCCAACCACTTAATTAAACTAGCCACATGCAAAACAAGAAGAAAAACAGATTCGGATCAAACACTTTCCTCAAATTACACCAACCAGTAGTGACACAAAAAAACAACAGATTATAATGCAACTGCAAGCCCATTCCCAGATCTTTAATATTGACTGATATGAAATCCACAATAACCGAGTCAAAATGGTACTCCTTAACGATATGGCATGAAAATTAGCAAATTCACAATCAGACCATTCAAACCAAACAGAAAATAATTCCAATTATGGTAGCAAAACTCACAAGAAAGGAAATAATCCCCAAGTCAGCAAATTTTGTATTTAGGGTTTGCATGACTTGTGCTTGCTTCGGCTTCCAAATCTCAATCTCAAGCTCAAATTTGCAGGTAAACTTTTTCAATTTCGGGTTTCAGACTTCCAGTCAGTCGCAGTGTTCAAAAAATGGGGCTAGGCGGACGGCTAGGCGGCTAGGCGGCTAGGCGGCTGGGCGGGCGCTAGGCGGCTGGGCGGGCCTCCTAGGCGGGTTGGGTCATTTTTCGGTGCCGAACAAGGAGGACGAAGCAGCCGAAACTTGACTGCGTCTGCAACCTCCGTCCTATGCGAGTGCAAGCTTCGTGTTTGTTTCAAATGTATTCAAAGAGTATAACCGTGCGGCTATACCCTTAAAATATTTTTAAGAGTATAGCCGAACGGCTATACTTTTAAATATCCAAATGTATTCGGAAAGTAAAGCCGCGCGGGGCTAGAGTTATTACTTCAATTATTTTATTTATACATGCGATATTAGGAAATGAGAATTTAAATTTTTTCTGATACCTCCCATTCGAATGATTTCCCGCTATTAGCCCATTGGGCAAGAATAAAAAATGAATTTTATTTATAACAAATAATATAGGTTGAACTCATAAATACAACAACGACAACAAAATCCCTCAACATTTTGTGGATCAAAGGATGTTGAATTTCATAGTATAAAATTGCTTGTATAGCGATTTACTTTCTTGAAGAAAAATTGGATACAAAACAATCTAACGAGACAACGAAGAGAAGTTTGCAGCTATGTTTTGAAATTTATTGAAGGTATCAGAGGTCATATGACATTGATATATGAACTATTCAAAATGAGAATTCAAACAACATGTGTTAGATGAGAAGTAGCATCTCATTCTTAAATATAACATATTACTTCATTTGTCTACTGGTTGTGCCTGTTGTTAAGCTGGTGCAACCAACATTTTTTCACCAAGAAACTTTTCTTGAACCTTAAAGAAATTTAGCTAAGAAAACCTTTGGTGGTTAGGGAAAGTTAAGATAGAAACATAGGCAGAGGCAAGGCTGAAGAACAATTGCGAGCACATGTGATATTACAAAAAATGTAGCGAAGGAATTTAGAATGGCCATTTTCCAAATTAAGCACACATCTTATAATGAAATCAAGATAGGAACTTATAATGAAATCAAGCACACATCTTATAACAAATAGTTCTTCATTGCTCTTCAGGGATCATAAGGCACTCTCTATGTGTGTAGATATAATGTCTATGATGAAGACTATGATGAAGGAAAATTCTAGATCATTATTTATTATCATATAAATAAGGTACAACAAGCACCATATATGTATCTCTTCAATATGATTGATATATTTGCCAATGATCGTACAACAACTTGAAGAAATATTATTACATACATTCTATACTACTATTAGCTACTATATTTTCACATCAGAAAAATACTAAAATATAAATTGAAAAAATCACTGCTCTTATCATCGACCTCGAGGGTCTTGCCATCTGTTGGTACTAATCAATGAATCCCATCCTTTATTTACAATTAAGAATCATACAAGACATCAACTATACATTCAAAACCATATATAAAAGATGAAATTTTTGACGATCATTCGTGTTCAGCTCAACACACGACCTCTATCAAATACAAGGGCATTATCAATTCTCACAAAAAAGAAGGAGATTAGGGGGGGGGAAAAGGGAAAAAAGGGGGGGGGGGGGGGGGGGGGGGGGGGGGGGGGGGGGGGTTTTTTTTTTTTTTTTTTTTTTTTTTTTTTTTGGGGGGGGGGGGGGGGGGGGGGGGGGGGGGGGGGGAAAAAAAGGGGGGGGGGGGGGGGGGGGGGGGGAGAGGGAAAAAAAAAGGGGAAAAAAAAAGGGGGGGGGGGGGGGGTTTTTTTAAAAAAAAAAAAAAAAAAAAAAAAAAAAAAAAAAAAAAAAAAAAAAAAAAAAAAAAAAAAAAAAAAAAAAAAAAAAAAAAAAAAAAAAAAAAAAAAAAAAAAAAAAAAAAAAAAAAAAAAAAAAAAAAAAAAAAAAAAAAAAAAAAAAAAAAAAAAAAAAAAAAAAAAAACGGTGGCCGGACGATGCCGGATTCAGTGTTGGAAAATGTTGTTGTGCGACGGGGAGAGAGAGAGAGAGAGAGAGAGAGAGAGAGAGAGAGAGAAGCTGACCTGGGTTTTAAAATTCTGATCTTGAAATATTTACAATTGTGCCACTGTGCTTCTGCTGACCGTATCTTCTTCGTTAAAATTTGGGCCCACTACGTGTCTATGAACTCGTATCGATGAGCTCTACCCAAGGAAACTTGTCTCCTTTTGTTTTTTCCCCTTTGAATGACTTTGGTTGTTTTAGTCAAACGCCCTCTAGTTTTTTTTTCAAAGCTGCCTTAGTTTTTTTTTTATTTTATTTGTCTTTTTTTTTTTGTGGCACAGTTTTATGACAAACTGTGGTCTAGCAAACTAAGACAGAACTGTTTAGCAAATTCTTCGTCTATTACAATTATTGTTATAGCAACAACAAGATTGAGAACTTGAAGATAAATGTACCTGTCACTATCACTGGTGGTTTGTTGGTTGGGGATGGTAGAGCAAAAGGAGCCTGTAAATACAATTTTGTGTACTAAAACAAACTGCATTTTCAGCTAGTTGACACACTAACAACTTGGGGCTTAGAGACTGAATCTTTTTGCAGTCATTACAAGATAATCTGTGGGTATTCTTTTCTTTTCTTACTGTTATAGGGTACTCAAGTCAGCCTCATTACAGAGAGAAACTGCTCCAACTTACAAATGTGGAGGAGAGGCCGTGGGATGTGTACTGAAATGGGAATAGCCAAAACACCTACTGATGGAAAATAAGCCACTTCTAGCAGGCAATGACTCGGGTTTATCCTCAGATTTACTGTGAGGAAAGTGCCTATGAAAGGCATTCAATGCTCCTATCAACCCATCTTCGTCATCTATGGCCTTGGCAATTTCAACAGCACGCTCTTTAACCTTTCTACCGAAAATAGTTATGTCTTTGTTAATTTAATATATTCATGTCCATACTAGGGATTGAAATAACAAAAAATAACCCCTAGAGTTATGACTAGTATTTGCATGTTAAAATTGATCGAAAAACAATGGCAACTTCAATCAAATTAGTGCGCATGCATGTGTGATAATTTTACGCTCAATATGTAAGTGATAGAGCAAAAAGCCAATAACTTACCGGTAAGTTATAGCGTGAAAAGCCATATTTAACCATCATGTAAGTGATGGAGTGAAAAGCCTATAACTTACCGGTAAGTTATTGCGTGAAAAGCCAATATTTAATCGTCAGGTAAATGATTGAGCGAAAAGCCTATAACTTACCGGTAAGTTATTGCGTGAAAAGCCGATATTTAATAGACATGTAAATGATGCAGTGAAAAGATTACAACTTACCGGTAAGTTATCGAGTGAAAAGCCAATACTTTACCAAACATCAAAATTAAGACAATCTGGTGCGCCTCCCCTAACGAGCACGCAGTATCGAAGAAACTCTGGCGTATGCATCCCAACTAGGATTTCAAACTTAAAATAATAATTAAAAGATAAAGCTTGAAAAAATCAAGCTATAACAATACAAATAAAATGACAGGACTCGCCCCGAATTCTTCGGAATTCGTGACGGATCCAGTGGTATTTTCGACATCCAACCGATACCGGGCCCACTTACTGATTTCAAATGTCGTCTTCCCCTAAAACAAAGGAAAAGAGGGCCGAGACTTCTATCGAAATTTCGGCAGAGTCTCCCTTGAAAAACGGACTTAACCAAATTTTTCAACCTGTCAAAAACACAGTTTAAAATTTCCACACTTCAGCATGCACAGTCTACCCTCCAGGCATAGTCATAAGTAGTTGTAAGGAATCAA